TGTGCAATTCACTTGAATACTCGTAACACATCTTTAATTTACAGCCATATTTTACCTCAAGTCACGAGTCCTATCCATGAGCATCTTGCTGAGCACACCATAGCTATCATTTTCCTGAGATGAAAATGCAATTAGGGTTATTCAAATATCACACAACATAAAAATTTTCACTTCTAACATTATCGTGTTTTGACATTATATTGTTGAAATGTGAATTTCCTTTATTTAGTCAAGTTAATCATTTAGTCATGTTCATTCATTTCTTTTGAGATTACTCATGCAACCTGCGGATCGTTGTCTCCATGATGTACTCAAATCCACAATAGTGGCAAGACGAGAGAGGGGAAACCCTAGTACAAGGGCAATTCAGTGTCACTTGGATTAAATTCATCTTTTGTAAAGTCTATAAAAGATTAATGATTGTACTCATTTTTCATAAGACAATTTGGAGTGTTAACATATGAAGTAGAGTATTCTCTTAAATATTTCTCCTCTTCTAGAAGTTGTTCCTCAAGTCATTTTGAAGAGCTAAGAAATAAAGTTGCGTGTTCTCTTAAATATCATTTTCTCATCCTTTAAAAGTTATTCAATCTCCAACTTTTCAACAAAAATAAAATTAGAGCGATTTATAAGATTTTGGAAAGAAGATATGACAAACAATTATTCTCTTCCCATTCCTCGACTCGCTAATGATAACTATACTACGTGGAATATTTGTATTAAGGCATATGTTGGAAGTTAAAATTTATGGGACATGGTAGAGAAAGATTTTGAACCTTAAAATGAAGAAGGCATATCTTAACACAAAGAGATTTGCAACAAGCAACTAAGATGAAGGATCAAAAGGCTCTTAATAGGATTCATCAAGATCTTGATATGATTCAAAAGGTGCAAAATGCTACAATTTCAAAGCAAACATGTGAGATTTTTCAAAATACATACAAAGGTCTAAACAAAGTAAAAAAAGTCAATCTTCAAGGACCAACCGAACTCTTTGACACAGTTTGGACTTCTAAATGCATTCCAATGATCATTCAAGGACTATACTACCAACCGAACTCTTTTGACTTTAATTAGGATTCTATAACTCATATTTTGACTTTAATTACAACTCAATAAACTCCTAATACAATTCTACTAGAACTTGATTTTGACTAAGGAAATTGCCAATTACAAATTTAGAAATTGTCAGTTATAATTTGGACTTAACAATCTCCCATTTGACATTCCGTGACAAAATCATATTTATTTCAAAGTCAATTAGTCTTAAACTACCCAAAAATAAACTTTCCAAAATTTTCTTCAATAATATGTCAATCAATTTCCTGAAACGCATGAAAACCACGATACCACATCAAAAGAAAAATGAAACTAACAAAATCAAGATCATATAATTAAGTTAAATAAAAACATAACACAGGCGTAACACCGAAACATGCAATATGGTAAATTGTATAAACCATTAAGTCATCTATCAATCAAAAAAATTCAAATTCTCCCCCTAACTCATATAATCAACTGTCTGAAATACACATCTCTCCCTTTTTTTGTCACAAATAACAAAGAAAAAACAAATAATAATCATGTTAAACACAGAGTGGAATGAGTAAAAAGAATATTCACATGTATGATGATGCAAAAATTATGTAAAAACATGTGATAGGAGAATAAATTTTTTTCAATTTCGAGACAACTGTTTTTATTTTTCATGAATATTTAAATGAATTGTCATGAACAATTATTTGCTTACTTATACATGTATAATTCATAAATAGTAAATTTTTTTCACATAACTTATTTTAAACATATATATAGTAAATTGTATAAACCATTCATGTGTGAAAAGTGTCATTAAACTCATGTAAGCAAGTCTCAAAATCTTAAATCAATGGGAAAGGACTTGCAAAGAATCACTGGTAAATGAAGTCAAACTCAGTATTACTACGACATTTAGAAATTAAAGAGCTCATAATTAATTGTATAAATTTCTTATTTCTCCCCCCAATCTGTGAGCACATATATATATATATTTTTTTTTTTTTATTCAAATCTTATATGCAGGCTCTTCTTCATTAAACTTTCTACATGATCTCTGTAACGAGTTTTAGGCAGATGACTCCAAAATCAAATGACTTATAGGGCATCAGATATTAAGATACTCTGCAAACTTAATTACTCAAGTCATATAGGCTACGAAAAAAGTATAAGATTATCTCACATCATTTTATGTAATTCAAAAAATTTTATTTAAAATTCAATAGTAATCCTTTTTTTTTAAAGGGGAATATATAAGAGCTCAGATCAACTAGTTTAAAAGTCATTCCATTTTTAAAGTCAATTAACCACACAGATTACCGTCATCCCAAATCTTAAACACTGGATCAAAATCCATTCACAAGAGTTTAATATGTGTAGTGCATAAAATACATGTAATAACATATATCAAATACTCCAAACAAGTTCTAAACAAATTAATGGAAATTTAATTTACCAATTATGAACCTAACTAATACTTGATAGCAAAATAACATGTCCAAAAAATATAGAAAAAAAATATAGAAAATCTTTTCCTTTTCAATTTTTTTTAAAATTTCATTTTTCAACAAAACAAATAAAAAAAAAGTTTAGTATATGCATGAATATGTAGATATAATGAATAAGGCACAAAAATGCTCTTACCATGAAGAGCAACGTGAGCAATACCACAATGTAAATCATTGTTTTGACCGTGAGTTCATTCTTTTTGACCCAAATCTTCTTAGAAGAAAATGTAATCTAAATCAATTGAGTCATCAACTCAGTCAAGTGACTCACTTGATTAGTCAAGAATCTAATGTGAGTAGTTAAAATTTGTTTATTTTTCCTAATCAAGAGCTTACGATATTTAGGTCTAATGTGACCTAAAATACCACAATTATGGCATGTGGGAATGAATTTTAGAAACAATCATAGATTTCAAATTTTGAACCTTAGGTGGAAGGAACTTATGTTGTACACATGATTTTGGTTCTCGGACACCAATAATCTTGGTCTTGTTCCTATTCAAGAGCTCATGACAACTGGGTCTTATGTGTCCAACCTTACCACAATGGTGACACGTGTGGATGAATTTGGGAGTAACTCTAGGTCTCAAATTTTGAACCTTAGACATCGAGGTAGGTACAAACTTATTTTTCGAAGAAGAAGCAATATGAAAATTTGTTTCATTAAAGTATATACCTCTTCTATCCCCAATTGTTTTATTCAAACCTATCATGTTATCAATTTTCTTAGATCCACTAGAAAAAAATTGGAGTTCGGTATTTGATTTTTCCATATCACTAATAAGAGATTTAACCTTAATATCTAAGGACTCTTTCTCAACTCCTAATACAATTTAACTAGAACTTGATTTTGACTAAGGAAATTGCCAATTACAAATTTAGAAATTGTAAATTATAATTTGGACTTGACAAAAATCTACAGTTTTCAGTGCAAAACTAGCTAAGTGATTGAAACTCAGTAGCCAAAAGCATCAAAGCTTCGACTCCAGTAGCATGTTGTCTGTGTGTTCAAGAGAGAGGAGAGGAATTTCAAAAACCTTGAGCTAGAATAATGGAAGAGTTTTCCAGTGGCAGAAAAAACCATTAAGGCAATCTGAGCATCACAAAGAGTAGAGAGTTCTTGAGCCTTTTTGAAAACCCCTCTTCTTCTCTTTGAAAAGGTCACTTGGTGTGCCGTCAAGTTATCAATCTTCTTGATCTGAATCTTCTGTCTCACCATTTTCACAGTACACTCACTGCAAACAAATATTATATGTATATGTCGTTAGTATAAAAAGATATATATATATATATATATAGAAACCGAGGGACGAGGGAGAACATTGGTCTTTTATAAAAATAAGGAAAAAAGACACGAAGCGTATTTTCAAGTGCAATACAGAATCCGAAACCACAACCCAAAAAATAGTGGAAATCACAGTCAGAATAAATTTTTTTATTATTTATTATTTTTTTTTGCATAAAATGGAAATCTTCAACGGTGTCACATGTACTAATTCGGGAAGAGATGAGAACTTCCACCTGCAGAAGTGAAACCCTAGAGTGAGAGAGCAGAGGGCATCTGAAACCATAAACCAAGTGAAGTGGCAGAGTAAAATGGTTTGTAAATTGCCGGGGCGGGGGGACCCGGGGGGGAGAGGGAGAGAGAGAGAGAGATAGTTACCTTTACGAGACGTTGGTTTTGTTGAACCTTAAAACTAGCCACACCACTGGATATATACAATTCTACCAATGATACTTTACACTACATAATTAATTTATTTTAGTTGTACATGCCGAATTAATTTGAGCTTATTAATTATTTTAACAGTTATAATCTATTATTAAATTCAACGTAATTGTAATATTTATACCTACTTTTATCTTAAAAATAAATAATATAAAATTCACTCCCAATAATAATCAAAATAAATAAAGCCTAATTATGCGTGTACAAAGTTCTTTAGTTTATTGGAGAATGATAAGATCATTCTGGATATGTTGGCAATTGCGTCTAACCATGATATTGATGAAATATAGATCGGAAAATGCTATAAATGTCAAATTAATAAAAATCACATTTTTATCGAAGCAACATTTCCTTAATTGACAATATAAAATATCTATTTAACATTTTATTTTATTTTTTAAATCGCCCAACTGACCCTAGTCAAATTTGAGTTCACCCCTGTTCATAAATTAGAACATCCTCTTCAATTTCATGTTAAGCAATCAAGATTTCACTTTAATGTGCCTCATATAATTTCCTTGGATACATATGATTTCAATAGCTCAATTCTAGCGAAGTATATAACACAAGCAAATTCAAAAAGACTTTAATGTTCAGAGGCCACGTAAATCCACAACATTGGTCCCCTGACACTCAACTCACTTACACAATAATTTATAATTATATCCTATCAAGAAAAATGGACAATTATTCTTCTGGGCTGTAGTCTTCTGGCAATGGCATCGTCTTCAGTTGGGGAAAGGTAAGCTGCCAAAATTAACATAAGAATAGAGTCAAAAAGATCTGAGACTACACCCTACTATGACAATACTTTTTGTGCAAATTTGAATTAGGTAACATGGAACTTAATGAACAATACGTACCCCAGCCTGAGGTAAGTATCAGAGTCGTGAGAATTGGTGATGCACTCGGATGAATTGCTTTGCTCAATACCATTTCCAGTACTTTCAGATTTCTGCATAAACAGTTCAATCAATGACTTGAGAACGCGAAATTTGCTACTGAGTTCCAATGCATGCAGTGCGAGAAATCATATACAATTTTGGAAAATAAAAGATCGACTCTCACTTCTGCTTGCTGTTTCAACTTAGCATTTTCTTCCCTTAATTTAGATCCCTGCATATCAGGAAAGTTGACTAATTAGCCCAAGCCTTTAGTTGTTGATTTTATCTATTTACGGGATTTATCTCTTAACCAGGAGCAGCATGATTATTTTTTTCATCAAACGATAAAGTTTGAAGACTTACCTTTTTCATGAGCAAACTGATCTCTTTAAAATATTTGTCATTCTTCCCCATCGAAAGACAAAGATGTCAGCACAAAAAATCTAAATATGAAGCACTAGAAAACACCAAAAATTGTATGTAATAATACCTTTGTTTCCACGACATGGTCTAGTCCTCCTTGTACCCTTTTCTCTAGTTTGATCAACTCATCCATGTCAAGTCCTTGGAGATCTTCTCCCTTAAGTTGCCTATCACAATTACAATTGTGTCTCAACTGTGCAATGCACTTGAATACTCGTAACACATCTTTAATTTACAGCCATATTTTACCTTAACTCGCGAGTCCTCTCCATGATCGTCTTGTTGAGCACGTCATTGCTATCATTTTCCTGAGAAGAAAAGGCAAATAGGGTTATCCGAATATCACACACGACACAATAACTTTCACTTCTAACAATATCGTGTTTTTGACACTGTATTGTTGAAATACAGATTTCATTATTTAGTCAAGTACATCATTTATTAAGTCAATTTCATTCATATCTTTTGAGATTACTCATGCAAACATTAATCAACAGGTTTATTCATGTACTAGAAAAATGCATGAGTTGTTTTTGCGATTAGTTTGCCTTTAATAATTAGTACATGTATTAGATTAAATTCATGTTTTGTAAAGTCTATAAAAGGTTAGTGATTGTACTCATTTTTCACAAGTCATTTTGGAGTGTTAACATATGAAGTTCATTATTCTCCTAAATATTTCTTCTCTTCTAAAAGTTGTTCCACGAGTCATTTTGGAGAGTTAAGAAATAAAGTTGAGCGTTCTCTTAAATATTATTTTCTCATCTTTTAAAGGTCATTCAATCTCCAACTTTCAACAAAAATAGCATTAGAGTGATTTATAAGATTGTGGAAAGTAGATATGACAAAACAATAATTCTCTTCTAATTCCTCGACTCACTAATGATAACTATACTACATTGTATATTCATATAAAGGCATATGTTGGAAGTTAAAATTTACAGGACTTGGTAGACAGAGATTTTGAACCTTAAAATGAAGATGGTGATTATCAATGAGATGAAAATGATAACGAATTGATCTACAAGCGATCGAAAAAATTTCGATTTTCATGTGAAAAATTCAATTTTAGTGTAGTGGCAATCGAATAATTAAAAGACTTGAAAGAAATAACTATTTATGAAGTCGCGAGTACGCTACAAGCTTATAAGGAGAAGGTTGAAAAAGAAGAAAGAACAGGTAAGAAGAGCAATATGAACCAAAGAGGTAGGAGGATATGAACGAGGTCGTAGAAGAGGAGATAGAAATTTCCAACATTCATCCTATAATGAAGGGAATTATCAATATTTATTTAACTCAAGGAAGACATAATCTCAAAGAAGATGAAGGAAAAATAATGATTGGAGATGTGACAAATCTCAAATTGAATGATACAATTTTCACGAACTTAGTCAGTTTGCATATGAGTGCACGAATAACGTAGAATAGTCCAACTACGTTGAAAATAAAGACAAAGCAAAAGGAACTTTACTATTGGCACACAAGAGTACAAGGAGGGAATAATTCTTAGTACTTAAAAACCTTGGCAAATAATCATGTGTGGGGAGAAATCTATTTTCCAAGGAACTTGAAGAACTAAATGACCATGGTACATTTGGATATGAGGTAAAAGTGAAATTCTCATCCAAATGAAGAACCTAGAAAACTAGATTTTCAGTGTTTACTATAATCCTTTTATGAAGACATATTTTGAGTTCGAGCTAATTTTTGGACCAAGGATATGATATCTAATAAAAATTCAACAAATTATAGTACGAGATTGCAATGAAAACTTGACTATTAGAATTCCAATAATAAAGAACCAAAAATTATTGTCGAATATTCCAAATGGAAAAGTGGAGTGTTTGTAGGCATGTGTCAAATATTCAACATATCTATGGCATTTACGACTTGACTATCTAAATTTTGATAGTCTAAACATCATGACGAAGTGAGACGTGGTGAAGGGACTGGCACATATTCATCATCCAAATCAACTTTACAAAGAGTGTCCCTATGAAAAGCAATCAAAAAGGCTTTCCTGAAGCAAGTTTTCGAGCATCGAGGCTACTTGAATTAGTGCATATGGATCTTTGTAGATCGATCAAGCCTGCATCATTTGTTACAAGTAGTTACTTCGTGTTATTTATTCATGAATGTTCTCGCAAAATATTGGTATATTTTATTAGAGAAATGTCTGATGCAATTGAGGCTTTCAAGGTCAAGGCGATGGTGGAAAATCAAAGTATTTATATGATCAATAACATTATGCTCATATCATGGTGGTGAATATATTAGCAACACATTTAAGAATTTGTTTTTTCAGATCATGGCATGTATCATTCTTTGACTATTTATATATCTCTTCAATAAAATGGCGCAACAAAGAAAAGAATAGGGCTGTCATGAAAATTACTCGAAGTAAGTTTAAAACTAAGAAGATGCCAAAGAAGTTATTGGCCGAAGTTGCTCGGTGTGTGTATTTGTTGAATAGTTTGTCCAACCAAAGTGTGTAAAATGAGTCCTCAAGAAGCATGGAATGAATTCAAGCAAAGTATATTACATTTTTGAGTTTTCGAGAGCATTGCTTTATCTCATATTTCGAAAGAAAAAAGAATCAAACTAGATAATAAGAGTGAAAAATATATCTCAATAGGTTATGATTTAAGATCAAAAAATAAGAAGGTGATCAAAAGTAGAAATGTTAGGATTGGCAAAATCAGCAAGAATAAAATTATAGTTTCTTCAAAGACTTACCACTTGATCAAAGGCTGAAGCATTATTAGGATTGGCTCTTTCCTTGCCACGATGAATATGTCGATTCTTATCAGTTGTGGTCCATCTGGTTTTTTCCCTTTCTTGAAACGGCTTATTCTTCTTCGAACTCAGATGCCCACATAGCGGTATTATTACTCTTTTTTTACTCGCCCCCTACGAATGTCATTCTAGAAGCTTTCACTCAAACAAGGACTTCCTATAACGTACTAGAGCAAAATCAATGTACATAAGTTGGGACATATTATCAATGATCTCATCCCAACCAATTGAGGAACGATTTTCTCTTTGCCGTGAAGTCAACGGCTCAGCTGGTTGTTTCATACGCGATACAGGATAAAGAAAGAGGATTTGAAGAACAAGGTGATGCGATTCCGCCTCGACAAACACCAACTCTATCTCCAAGATACGGTCAAGATATATCTTCATCTTCATCATCCTCGAGTAAAATATCAAATCGTTTTAGAAGTCTTCGGGATATTTATGATGATTAGGAGGAGTTGTCTCAACATTTTAAGGATTTAACTTTATTTTGTCTATTTGTTGATCATAGGGTTATTTATTTCAATGATGATATTCGAAATTATTGAGGAGAAAGTCATGATTGAAGAGATCGAAGCTATTAATAAGAATGGTTCTTTGGAGTTAGCCACACAACCTGATGATCAAAAGCCTATTGGAGTCAAATGGATTTTAAAGCAAAAAAACAATGTAAATTGTGAAATCAAGCGCTACAAAGCAAGATTAATAGCTAAAGGCTACAATCAAAAACATGATGTCACTTGTGATGAAGTAATTACACCAGTAGCTCGTTTCGAAATAATATAACTTATTGTTTCCATGACAGCAGAAAATGGTTTGAATATTCACGAAATGATTGTTAAATCGATATTTTTCAACGAATTTATGCAATAAGATGTATACATACTACAACCTCATGGATATGTTGTGAAAGGATAAGAAGTCAAGGTTTTGAAGTTGAAAAAAATCTTTTATAGTTTAGAGCAAAAGCTCCAAAGGTGTGAAATTCAAGACTCGATAAATTTCAAGCTAATAAATTTATTTGTTTGAGAGTAGATCAGGCAATTAAAAACTAGTTGCTAACGAGTTCTTAATCACCCTAGCCATTTAACATATATTTTTTATTTTGTCCGGTACAAACTACATTGCTAAAATTGATAACGTTTCTCAAATATGGAATTGGGTTATTAATGAGAATTTGATGCACATATAAATGAAAACAAAAATTGATAACATCAAAAGAGAATTCACGTAAATATTGAAAAACTTGAGCAACTAATAGACATTCGAAGTTATTGCATTGCAAAATTTTGGAATTTCCAAATGTTCAAGAAGTGCATTTGACCCTATGACTTATTCAACCGCGTTGCCTTCTCCTGCAAACGGACCATTTAAGTGTGCAAAATATTTCATTTGTGATTTCATTTTTTACCAACTGCCATAATTTCATTATAGTCATCCCTTGACATTAAGAAGTGAATTTAAGAGTCAATTCACTGATCCATATTGAGTTTCTCAAACTTCTCGAAAATCTTTACGCAAGTTCTTCCTCGAAGATTGATGAATTTTTGTCGGACTTCATCTTAACATCCGTACAACAATCCAAATCGTTGTCCCCGTGAGGTTTCTCTCCAATCCCATAACCAACGACGGCCCCCCAATTATCGGAACACTATCCATCTTTAATTTTCCATTTGCAGCCCTATCCACAATCAGGCCAGTGACTAAACCCACAATTGCACCAGCCTCGCACAGCTGTAACACGCACATCGTATCCACCTCTTGCCCATCGCCATAAAGGTCACCCACCATCCATTGTGGAGGGATAATGGCGACTTCAAGATGTTAGTAGATATGTATTAGCTCATGTCTACTATTTCCACCATCAATCATAGCACCATGATGTCTAACTTGTCCTCGTCGATCCATTGTTAGAAGCGTAGACTAGGCTATGATTTCAACTGATGCTTAAGAAAGCATAAACGATAACAAATACGGGTTTTAAAAAGAAAATGCTTGCACAAATTAACCATTTATGTGGATAATTGAAGAAAAACCTCAAACTTTCTATTCACATTCAAAATCAACCATCCTACAGCACAATTATAACGCCAAATTACTCCTAACTAGATTTTTAAGCAAAACAGACTAAACATAAAATGATAAATAAAGTAATAAATATATTTAAAAAAATTAAAATTAAAATCTTAAATTGGGACTAATTGCGTCATAGATTTAATTGGCCATAAATATACATTAATTAGATGCTGAATTCTTATTCAATATTTTCTTGTTATGATTTCGGTATAAACACAAACGACAAATTTAAATTCGAATTGTCTATAAATGGTGTGATCTCACCTGAAGTTGGATAGATGGTTGTCCTAATTTGTTTGAGTTCTCTGATTGCCTTTTGTGCCTTTCAATTAGTTGCATCATGCTGCAGAAAATGGGGAAAGACAAGGACAAAATCAAAATCTAACATTTTATAAATAGAATGCATGTTTTGTATCGAATAGGCAACTCAATGGTATGACTTAATACATGTTTTGTAACGAATACAGCGTGACTTTATTTTTTCCACTTTAGTAAATACATTCGACCATATTAAACTCTAGAAGGGTCATTGAAAATGGATGCACTTTCACTTATAGATGTTGATTACTACTGGAAAATTTGTTTTATAAAGAAACTTCAATAGAAGCGACCAATGCAACTGTGAAACATAATATCTGATTGAATAGTAAACGACCGTGATACCATTTTGAACCAATCCAATCTAGTGCAAGCTGGAATCATAGGCAGCTAAAGACTTCAACAGCATGACTTTATTTTTTCCACTTTAGTAAATACATTCAACCATATTAAACTCTAGAAGGGTCATTGAAAATGGATGCAGTTTCACTTATAGATGTTGATTACTACTCGAAAAATTGTTTTATAAAGATTTTATAAAGAAACTTCAATAGAAGCAACCAATGCAACTGTGAAACATAATTTCTGATTGAATAGTAAACAACCGGATTTTTGAACCAATCCAATCTAGTGCAAGCTGGAATCGTAGGCAGCTAAAGATTTCAACTAAAGACATTTGCATGACGTGATACCATTTTGAACCACATAATTTTATAGTTTAAGATACATTGAAAGGAGTATGTTCTCTATAAGACAATATTGGATAGGAAAACAACTAATTTCTCACATGGTACAAAGCATGAACCTTAGACACAAAACACAGAAACCAAGCCATCTCTCACTCAGGGCACTATTGCACTCATGACTTGTACTGCCCACAGACCCGACTCTCAAAATGAACATATTCAATAGCATTCACACACTCAAAGTGATCGTTGTTGTTTCAACTCTACATCATCCCCTGCCCCCACCACCTTCACTAAAAGATAGTTACAAACGGACACTGACAAGAGAAAAACATGTGATATATATCAGTGAACCAGTCGCCCCTAGTTTTGATCGAACCTTTGTATCTTACTTCTAGATTATTTGCATCCACATCCGAGCTCCGATTATCTACCTAATAATTGCCATTACTGCCCATTTAATTCGTACCTGCTCTAAAGAACGGTCTCTCTAGTCACTTTTAGTATGGTTTTAGCTCATTAATATCTTTAGTTTTCAATACAAATCTAGCTATGTGATTGAAAACTCAGTAGCCAAAAGCATCAAAGCTTCGTCCCCAGTAGCATGTTGTGCGTGTTCAAGAGAGAGGAGAGGAAATTAGAGAACCTTGAGCTAGAATAATGGAAGAGTTTTCCGGTGGCAGAAAAAACAATCAGGGCAATCTCAGCATCACAAAGAGTTGAGAGTTCTTGAGCCTTCTTAAAAACCCCTCTTCTTCTCTTTGAAAAGGTCACTTGACGTGCCGTTAAGTTATCAATCTTCTTGATCTGAATCTTCTGCCTCACCATTTTCACAGTACACTCGCTGCGAACAGATGAAACGTATATGTATATCTGGTCAGTATCGTGACTCAAGAAATATACAGAGATCGAGGGACGAGAAAGAAGTCAAAGAACTTCAATAGAAATTAGAAAAAAAGAAGCAAAGCATATCTTTAAGTACAATACAGAATCTGATGCCACAACTTTAAAAAAAATGGAAATCAAATCCAAGAGAGGGAGAGAGTATATGTATATAGAAAAGTAAGAGGTAGTCAGTTAGAAGAATCGTTCAGTTTTTTTTCATAAAATAGAAAGATTTAACAGTGTAACATTTACTAATTCAGGGAAGAGATATAGGACCTCCACCTGCAGAAGAGAAACCCTAGAGATAGAAAGTAGAAAGCATCTGAACTCAGAAAGCAGATAAAATATCAATAAAGTTGGTTTGCAAATTGCGCAAACTGTCAAAAATGTAATAAATATAATAAATATACCCTCAACCTTTTTTAGCATTATTCATCCCAACACTTCAATTCGTAAATACATCATCCCTCCACATTGGTCACGATGGATTTGTCTTTTTTAAATAAATAAAATTATAAAACAACAAAAAATAAGAAAAATTAAAATAAATTCTCATAACTTTTCAAAAAGTACAAAAAAATTTCTATTTAAAATAATTAAATACTCACATAAAAAAAATTAGAAAAATTTAATTTACCCTAGCCGAGTTCAGCCAACCAACTCGGTGAACGCCCACATCACCCCATCCCGCACATCATCATCCGCCCCCACTTGCGATCAAGTTTGTCTTCCCTTTAATTTAGAACTAAGGCATGCTCTTAGTTGTTATTAGGGGTGTCCAAAAGTCCTGAACCGGACCGAACCGAACCCAAACCGAACTGAACCGAATCGAGCGGTTCTTCATAAATTAAATACCCGAACGGATACCCGAATCGAGAACCGATGGGTTTGGGTCGGGTCGGGTCGGGTCTCGGGTCTAGACCAAGAACCGAAGAACCGAAACTAAATAATTTTTTTTTATTTTTTTATTGAATTAATTAAATTATTTTATTTTTTTAAAACAAATTAGCAAATTAATTAAATAAATCAGATTATTTCATAATTTTAATTTTAAAGTCCAAATCATTTTTAAAGTCCATTAGCCCATTTTAATTTGAAACAAATGAATATACTTTATGTAATGTTGCTATAATACTAATATCTACTTTTTGGTATTTATATGCATTGAATTAATTTTATTGGATGGTTAGTTATTTAATTTTTTTTAATTGGGCTACTTTAATTTGTAAAAGTTACGAATGGAATGTCATTAGTTGTATTTATGTAATGTTACTGTAAATATTAAAAAAATTAACTATGGTACGGAACCGAACCGACTCAAACCGAACCGAACGGAACCGAACCTGAACGGTTCCATAATTATATTTGAACCCGACGGTTCCATTTATTAAATACCCGAAAGTTTTGGATCGGTTCGGGTCTCTTCAGAACCGAACCGAATCGACCCACGAACAACCCTAGTTGTTATCTTTCTTGCGGGTATCCTAAACATTTGTTCTTGAGCTTAGATGCTAAAAATTAAATTTAAAATCATATGTTTTCTCTCTTGCTCTCTCTTTGTTGATTCCAAGTAATTCATTATTATTGTCGCACGTAATAGAACATAATCATATGTCGCGATTTTCATAAACCAGCTTGGAAGATAAAATTTAAATAAACAAAAATTGTATTATCTAATAATTTAATTTTAAATGAGGTTATCCAACAAAAATTATATGTGTTTATATTTATCTTAATTCACGGATTGGAGAAAATTGTTATTTTTAAGGTGGAGAAACCACATACTATTTTTCTCCCTACTTTATCTTGAAATAATGGTCGAAACTACTAATTTAGATTTTTTTTTTTTTCTTGTGAAATTTTAGATAATGAAACAAATGAATTGCACTTGTGAAATTCTTCATTCGTAATAACTAAATAATATTTCAATAAAGAAGGTCGCACTATTCGTGGAGCACATTATTTTTCTAGTAAGGTTGGGACCATTGCCTATTGAAATGGCAAAGTTTGAGGCTTCAAGTTGGAAGACTTTTAAATTTTCAGCGATGAAGCTTTTTCTAAACCTCAAGATTCAATATTATATTTGAGTTCATTAAACTTCAAATGAATATTTGATTTATTTTTTGAATTTTAAGATTAATAATTTGCTCATCGTTAAAGATGAAACAGATAAACAATTTATCAAGACATAACAATTGACATCCTAATATGGAACAACGAACTTGTATAATAATTAAGTTACGCATATTATTGCAAGGATATTGTAAAAAGTGAGATCAGACAAGAGTGTGTGACTAAAAATATATTTTTATCTCTTATTTTTAATTACACGTTCTTTCATAAAATAATATTACACACAAATTTAAAAATTTTTAACCACAAATTTTTCATCAAATTACTAATTTAAAATATATTTTTGTCAAAGAAAAAAAAAAGGAAAAAAAGAGCTCAAACATGAAAATATTAGTTAACGATTAAAAATTTAAAATGAAAGTGTTGTCCGTACAGGGGGCCATGCTGCGCTGCTGTAGAAAATTAAGACATTGTTGTACCAAGGAGGGCACCCTGCTCCCCACTCTTATATTCTCGACGTGACAATCTGTACTATGAAGCTGGAAATAAAGGATTCTGTCATTTGTAAGAAATAATCGACAATGCAATGACAGATGACATGTCAATAGAAGATGATTAGATAAAAAAATTGATTGTTTTTTAAATAATTTAATGATAAAATATCATGTGACATTATAATAATTTTTTGAGCTTTGCTGCTTGTACAGAAGTAGAAGTCACAGAATTTCACCAGAACACTCACACACTTTGGTATAGCGGAATTTTTTTTAAATATATGGTGGGGTCCACTCATTGTGAGTAAATTCTGTGGGAATATTTTTGTACATGGGGGAAAATGTAATTTTTTTGTCAAATTTTTCAGGCACTATAGCATGATTCGAAAATGAAAACCCTGTCTATTTTCTTTCTTTTTCTTTATTATTATTATTGTTTTGAATAATACTATGTGTATACCTTGTGATTTACACATAGTTTTACACTCCCCTCACAGGGGATCCACAAATATTTTATTGTGTGTGGGTCCCCCTCCATGTGAGGGGGTGTAAAATATTGTGTACACATAACATTATCCTATTGTTTTTATTAGTATTATTTGGTACGTAGGTGTGATGTAAAATAAATGATTGAATGGATTGAAAATGAATTGAATCGAAAATGAAAAAAGGTAATAGTGCAGGTGTGGTAGTCGAGCTCCGATTTGGACTCATAACACTATTCCGAAAAGAGAACGACTAAACGAGTAGAACTCATAGCCTTGTAACATACGATGGATTTTGGTCATCCGAATTCATTTAGGACTCGAAAACTTCATTTAAAATTTTAGTGCTATTTTTGTTATTTAATTTGTTTTTTTTTTTTCAATTTTAGTTTATTTAAACTAGGTTTTCATGTAAACCTTTATAAATAAATGGTTAATTCATTGTTTTCCATCATCTTTAATTAATAAAATTCGTGAGTTTATTTTTTCATAATTTGGTGTATTTCAAAATTTCATATTTTTTAAATTTTTGTTTCAATTCTTTATTTCGCACTGCGTCAAGGTGTTTCAAGGGTAAGATGTATAGCACGTGCAATCTAATTTATACGGTTAGTCTCGCTTTCTTTAAATCTATTTCTTAGCACTTGACAAGTTAAGATGTTCATTTTTAGTTAATATCCAGTAAATAAGTGAGCTCTGTATATAAATATATGAACGAGAGATAATTACGGGACTAAACTTTTAAAGGATGGAATCTTAATATGTTAGGTTACAACACCTCGAAAGCATGTCATCCAATTTTCTTCCCTAAAAAATTAGTACATCGTTGCCCCAACTTGGTGGTACTTGTGTTACGCAAGATGGTATGATTTCGGGTATTTTACGCTTGTAGAAATGAAAATTCGTGAAAAAAAAAAAATACATACACACACACAAATATATTACGTGGAACCTCCATCAAAATTATGAATTCGTGTAAATACCTGCAAAACGTCATAGCCAGAGAGATTAAAAAAAAAAAAAAAAGGTGCCCAAACGCGGACCCTAGTGCTCAAACAAAAGGTCTATTTCAGTTTAGAAAAGCTATAATAATTTAGAAAAGAAGCGACTTGTAGAGTCATTAGTGGACTGTTCAGAGAATTTCATAAAAATCTAAGAGTGCACATATTTATAAATTGTTTAGAAATGCTCAAATCACTTTTTATTCGTATATTTTGGGAGATTTAAAAGTATTACACACTTATTTATTATTAATTTCTATCTATTTATAATTTAAATCATTTATAATAAACAACTGCAAAACATGTTCATTGATGAAAAAGAAGGAAAATGTAACTCTCCTTTTTTTCGTCTCTGGCTACGTGTCTTTTGGACCCTTCACCCGCCACCACTAGTGATAAATAAAATAAACGAAGAAAGGTTGCGAAGAATCAATTGATCGAATTTGATCACCAAATATTTTTAGTTGTCCACAAATTTGTTGAATCGTACTAATTTGTGTTTTATATCCTGTTTGATCCATATNACCAAACTGTGGCTAAATTATAATTACTCTTTAAATTTTATCTATAGTTCATACATTTAGCCCCTGTTTGAGCCACGTTATTTTTTTCATTCTCGTTCTTCTACTCATTTTCAACTACACATTTTTCAATAAAATAATATTTTTATCACATCAATAACTTTTTCCTTCTTTTTCAACCACATATTCTCCATCACATCACTTCAAAAAAATGCATTCTCTCATTTTAATGTGCACCAAACAGGTTCTTATTTTGGTTTTGCGAAGAATCAATTGATCGAATTTGATCACCAAATATTTTTTGCTGTCTACAAGTTTGTTGAATCATATTTTTTTTTTATATTTTATTTTGGTCTATTATTTTTTGTCGTGTTTTTTTGTAATTTTTCTTAAGAGTTGGTTTCATAGTCCAGGCATCAAATCTTGAGACATTGCAATCAAGATCATGACAAATTCTAAATTTAAGGTTGTGCACTGTGAAATCAGTTAACCTTTTGGTAAGATCAACTGCCAACAAATCTTTATCACCTCTATGTCCATTTATGCATTGCATGTACGCAGGGGTGGACGCAGAAGTTTGAAGTTAGAAGGCACAATTAAACTTGAAAAGAAGTTGAGAAAAATTTTACAATGGAAAATTTACATAAAAAAAAAATCATACCCAATGTAATTTTACATCCGAAAATTTACATAGGATATGAATTTTTCGAATATAAAATTTCGAAAAAATTTTATGTCAAATTCCATATAAAATGATGAAAATTACATTGAAAATTTTGTATCGTAAAAATAATAAATGTTAATAAAATAATTGAATTTTTCTGAAGAAAATGCGAGTTAGACATCTTTCTTTAA